ATATATCCGTCATCCATATGAACACTCGCGGAGCCGAACGCCGGATATATCCGACATCCACATGGTCGCCCTCTGGGGACGAACGCCGGATATATCCGACATGCTGGTAAAATCGCCTCTTGTTACTATTGCGTGAATCTTTTGACGAAACAAACAAACGACAGTCCGAAATAAACGACACACCATTCAAGTTATATTTGTTCTACCTGCATTTTCCATTATTATTGTGTTACATGTCATAAAGGGATAGAAAGTCGAAAGTACTAACTTTAGAACTAATTATTATGTATTATGTTTTGTATTATGAATATTATGTTTTATTTTATTACTGTATATTATATATTATTTTTTCACTTTTTCCATTGTTAATGAAACTTTTTTTACCTATTAAATAACTTTATACCTTATGCAGAAATTATAACTACATTGTTTTAAAGAAAAATCCCTTTTCTTCCCAAATACACTATCCACGCGCAATGTGCACAATTTCGGCGGGTGGTTCCGTTCAGGAGGGGCGCTACGGCGGACTGAACCGCCGTAGCGAAAGGGTTAGGCGATCTTCTTGACGCTCCGCGCGGTTCTGGCCACTGGGCCGCTTTAAACAATAATCGTTTTCAGATGGACGTCGAGGGAAGCGATATTGGTATAATTATACGGGTAAAAGTATGTAGAAAATATTCCATCTCGAAAGAAAGCGCGTTCAAGTTGAGACTCGAGAGATATTCATTGTTAATTATGTAATTAATAGTTGACGATTCTCCTTAGGCAATTGAATGCTAACGTTTAAATGAATTGTGAGCAATATTTCTTGTAGACAACAGCATTGTCAAGCACGAGAAATAAAATAACAATTTACGAACATCATTTTTCATTCACACGTTATCGTAATTCTTCAGTGATTTCCGGTGCTTTGACGAAAAAATGTTTCCAACAAAAATGATTCAGTACTCGGTCTTCTATTATGTAAACGTCGATATGAAAAATTAAAAAATTTTGTTTAAATAAAAACTTAGTCACCAAGATCTTTTAATATATTTTTTACTTCGTAATGCTGTAGCTGACGCCAAGACGAATGTCAACGATGTCAACGAGCTATATGAAACGGCCTTTACGTCCTGAAACATTGCTGAAATCGTCGTGAACAGCGTCATCGATTGAGACCGCTGCGCATCGTTGGCAAAAGCATGCTCACCGTTTCCCATTGAGGAAGTACTTGTCCGAGTTCGGTACGCCGATGCCGATGTAATTCTTGCTGTTGCCGATCTCCTCGATCTTGATGTTCCGGGAGCCAGATGGTACCACCACCACCTCTTTGTACCCGGGCCCGTCGTTTTTGTCGTAAACGCCACCGGTGGTTTCGCACTGCGTCCCGTCCCCGTGACAGATTCCGCAACGATCCTCCGTCGCGTCGGAATCGACCGACCAGTCGCAGCCGACCTTCTGCGAAAGTACGAAGATCGATTTGCCAGAGATTGCTAAATGCCGTCTAATAGAGGAAAGCTGTATCTTGGATGAAACTGACTCTGCAAATACCGGCGATGCACATGTCCCTGGTGCCGACGTTGCACGGCGTGCCGTCGAGAGCGGCCTCGCCCCATGGCACGATCACGCTTTCCTCCGTGTCGGTGCAATACAATTCGCAAGGTTCCGCTTTAATTAATAGGATCGTTCTCGATCAGTCGTCCGGTCGAAACGAATCGAGATGTCGTGTCTGGTTTACGCGCAACGTGTTAACGGATCGGCTTACTTTGATCGAAGTACGGCAGCCAGGTGTAGTTCTTCCCTTTGTACTCCTTGCCGTCGTAATTGCTGCATTGCACGGCCCTGAAGCTGGGCGTGCCCTCCGGGCAGGGTTGCGTGTTGCAGATCTTGTAACGGCGCCTCTCGCCGATGCAGAACTTACCCCCGTGAGCCGGCTCCGGATGGTCGCATTTCCGCTCGACGATCGAGACACCGGCGCCGCAGGATCTAGAGCACTCGCTCCACGATCCCCATTCGCCCCAGCCGCCGTCGATCTGCCTCGGCCTGTCCACGATCGGCACGCATTCTTGGTTCTGGCACCACTGAGACAGAATCGACGAGCAATAACGAAGCGCAAACGGGACAACGAATCGCCGCACAGTGGGGCCATTGCGTGCCAAACGCGGTGAGAAACATTTTATATCTTAAATCGTGTGTATCTGGAAATGGGGGGTTCTTGAGGCGATTTGAAGCAACTTTTTCCTTAGCGAAAATGCAATCCGTGGCTTTGTTTAGGAGTTATTAAGGAGAAACAATGACCAATGAGAAGCGAGCTCGGCTGGCGCGAGGCGGCCCGGCCAACGGGCGCGCGAAGTCTCGCGACAACCGAGCTCGCTTCTTATTGGTCATTGTTTTTCGTTAATATCTCGTAAACAAAGCCACGGATTGCATTTTCGCTAAGGAAAAAATCACTCCAAATGATCTCAGGAATCACACTTTTCGGGGTGTTAACATAATCATTGGACACTCTGTATATCTCTTTATATCTTATTTTATACAATGTAGATATGTATTCGAGTGATCAACCACTTTGAACTAAACGCTTCGATGAAACAATTTGTACAAGCCGCAAGAGAATTGCTCGAATTGTGTGATTTATGTGGACATATTTTATTTATAAGACATTCAAGGCATAAAATTGTGAGAAACAAAAGAAGGTGCTGCATTTCCAACAATCGGCAATGCTTGGAGTTTCGAGTTGCGAGCGTATTCCGATACGCCGATTATTTCTGTAACTTCTGCCAGCTAGTGTCGTTTTTTTTTTTTTTAATAAAGATAAAGCTTCAGTCTATCGAATGCGGCTAAAACGAACGCTGCATCCCACTGCATTCATAATTAAAAAATAAAATGAAATTTAAACATATCCAGTTAAGTATAACTGACAAAATAGCAGAGACATAAAAATACAATTTATTCAATTAAAAAAAAATAACACAATTACAAACGACGATCGTTTTTGATTGTCACCTAAACACCCTCTACTCGTCACCAAAATTGATAGGTGATAAAGATCATTCCAAATCACAGCCCTCATTCTCCGCCCCAAGAAAACTATATGCGAATTAACATTTCACCGTAGAAATATTTTATTCGAATGACCTTTCACCGCGTTTGGTATGCAACGGGCCCACTGTGGCGCCGTACGATCGGAATGTTAGCGAAAAATGTGGAAACGTTAGCGGTCAAGATCATGTGGAAATTACTGTGTTCACACCATGTGTTTGCCACAATGTGTCCCCGGGGCGGCCGGATGAAGCATAGTGGTGCAAATGCCGTCGACGATGCACCACAATTTCGAGCAGATCTGTAAAAAAGATTGGCGAGCTCTGTTCAGAAACCGCGCGCCGAAATATTCTCCGGCGATCAATTTTCTTTCGTTTCGTCACCTCCTGCAACGGAGAACAGACGGAGGCTTCGCGGACGCCGAACTGCAGCCTGCACTGGTGCTCCGCATTGTACATCGCGCCGGGTGGCAAGTCCGGATACGCGTAATCGTTGTCTGCCGGCTCGTCCTCCAAGCATACCCCTTTACCTTGGCTGCAACAATGGGTTTAACCGTTTTGTTCCTGCGGCAACAGTTCCGAACAAACAGAACTTCGCCCGAGGAAACGAGCACCGAGTGTCACGCCTACTGACGCGATATTTTATGCGAAGCAGATTCAACGCTGAGCGAGCATTTTTACGGAATTTCTGAGTCTACCAATTGGAACTACAGTAATTTCTCCCGGAAATGACAAATTTCGGGTTGCTGCGAATTTCCCTGCGCTAATCCCACGCCTATGTAATTTATTGCTACGTCGATGCTGAGGATCGACGGAGTCGACGAATTCACGACGAATTCTCGGAAGACGAGACAAAATGGTCTGTTCAGGTGCGAGTCAGGTAAGAAAAACCGTCGAAACGTGGCATGTGGCTTCCGAATTGCCTTCGAATTGTGTCACCTGTCCTTCGAATTTCCTTCGAATCGTGTCATATGGCCTCCGTATTGTCCTCGAATCGTGGCAAAATATTAGAAATAAAAAAGTTAAGTCATCATTTTCATTCTAGCATTTTATTATGTATTCATATTAACCCTTTGCACTCGAGACTATTTTAACTCCAAAATGAAAATATTTGTTTCAACGTACAGTATTTCCATTTGGTATGATTGTTTTTATTTAGTATACATGGTGTCCCAAAATTATGGTATTTCCGGGAAATAAGGGGTTCCTGAGGTCATTTGAAGTAACTTTTTCCTTAGCGAAAATACGATCCGCGGCTTCGTTTACGAGTTATCGACGAAAAACAGCGACCAATAAGACGCGAGCTCTCCTTGCGCGACGCGGCCGAGCCAATGAGACGAACAGGGCTCCGACCGCTCGTTGGCTGGGCGCCGGCCGAGCTCGCCTCTCATTGGTCACTGTTTTTCGTTAATAACTCATAAATAAAGCCGCGGATTGCATTTTCGCTAAGGAAAAAGTTGTTTCAAATCGCTGTAGCAATCCCTCATTTGCCGGAAATACCATAATTTTGGATATGAAATTTTTGCATATGAAATAGAGTGCATACGCTTATAGAAGACTTCTATTATTCGACGATTTACCGAATGGAGACGAATTTAACCTTTTGCACTCGAAGCTATTTTAACTGTAAATCTAACATAATTCTTCTGACTTATGGTATTTTTATTTTACATGACAAAGTGCATTTTATGTATGTGAAATTGACTCTTGTGACTCGCACAGCAACTACGCTCTTAACAATTTGTTAAATCTAAACTTTGTTAATATAAAAATGATGACAAATCTTAACGGTGCCTCAGAGTCACCACCCGAGTGCAAAGGGTTAATAACGTGAAAATCCTTTAGAAAATGCAGCAATTTTTAGCGTCGCCTCAGAGTCGCCATTCGAGTATAAAGGGTTAATATTCACCGGCATGCTGGCCGCTGCCTTTTCTTCGCCGACTGCCACGAGTTTCTATAAAAACGTGCCGCGAAGTCCGAGAAGAATCGCGACTCTGTATTCTCAGATCTGTCGGTCTCAATTCCGAACATTTCTGAGAGAAATTACTGCAATTGGATTCTCTTACTCCAAGAAATTGGTGATGTCTCTCCTGGAGCATCTGGACCAGGCCACTCCTATGGTGTCCACCTCGAACGTCGGCGTCATCACGTGCAAAGTGTCACCGTCTCGTTTACTGCAGCCGATCTTCTCCGTGTCGTGGTACATGCCGAAACTGGAATCCAAATTGAAAACAGCGGTCTATCATGTTCGTTGACTTGCGAACGAGCCGACACAGGACGCAGCGAGACGATATAACACGCGCGAGTTGTCCCGTCACACGTTCGACACAGCGAGCCCGTCATCGGGACCGCGCTATTGGCTAATAAAAACAGGCCTGTTATCGACGGGAATGACCGTGAATTATAACCGTGAATTATAACTGCGAATTATAACCGTGAAATAATCGTATGTACAGTAAATTCTCTCTAATCGACGCTAAGATCGCGCGCAAAGATGGACAATTTGGGAAGAGGAGACTTTTTCGAGTCTCGCGGCCCATTTTTATAGTTATTGACTATAATAACTATAATAAATGACTATATATCGTATATATTATAGTCATATATATGACTATAATAAAGTTATCGACTATAATATATACGACTATAAAACGAGCCGCGAAGCTCGAACGATCGTGTCTCCTATTCTCGAATTGTCCATTTCTATTCACGTGTTGAGTGACAATCGGAGAGAATTTACTGCATAATAATAACCGTAAATTTTTCCCAACGGGAATAACCGTAACGAATAACCAGAATTCCCTGTATTTTGCTATAAAAATGAATCGATTAGAATTCGCGACAGTTCGATGCTTTCTTGCTAGCAGCTTCTATCGGATTTCCCGAGAAACGTCGAAAGCGTGTCGTCCAGCAGCTCCGATTCAACGATCGGAGACAGTGCCGTGATACGTCGGGCCGATTAGGTGCGTTCGTTTTAGCTTAGCCTGACGCGCGGTATGGTTGAAAAGGTAGCGGAACGCGTGCTCGAGTTCGCGTGGATATTACAATTGGTATCGCGTCGGCCGATTTTGCTCACTTGTGTCCCAACTCGTGCGTGATCGTGTGCGCCAGGGTGATCCCATTGTCCTCGTTGACGCTGCAACTGCGGTCCGGCTGGCACATGCCGGCTACGTGGGCGACACCCAGGGTGCTGCACGGGGTGTTTGCCCTCGAGCAGATGTCCTGCCTCGTCACCAAAATCGCGACGTCGTGGTGGTTCGGATGGGAGTCGTCCGTGGGGTTCAGCTTCTGTTGCCACTTACAGAAATTGTACAGCGTCCTGTCCGCGTTCACCGTGATGTCCAACCCTTGCTGGAAAACACGCGGCAATTCGCGGCTGATCGAGGGTCACCATTCAAAAGGTCTCGGTATTCGTACCAGGGCGTTTCATCGAAAACCAATTATCTTCTTAATGCGTAATAATTAGACTGCGGATTTTCTGCATTTATGACAAAGATGGGTTATAGCTGTAATTTTACAGAGAATAAAGAGAAAGAGAATTGAAAAGCGTCGTCACAGTCCGTTTAATCCCTCGCCGTACTTCAACGAGTTAGACTCATGGTGCAGATTTCTAGTAATATCCTATTGGGTTGGCAACTAAGTAATTGCCGATTTCAGTTATAGATGTCTCTCACTCCCATTGTTATGATATTCGTAAATGTTATATTATAAAATTATTATTATTATTATTATTATGTTATTTTTTATTATCCGTGAATGTTAGCAACTGGAGAAATTGAGTGTAGCGGTCAAGGAAAAGCGACCAGAATTGGTCAATCGTAAAGGTGTCATTTTCCAGCAGGACAATACTAGGCCGCACACGTCTTTGTCCACTCGGCAAAAGTTCATGGATATTGGTTGGGAATTGATGTTACACCCACCATATAGCCCTGATCTCGCGCCATCGGATTACCACTTATTTCGATCCCTGGACA